TTATTTAATATGGGGATCCATGCAATTTGCATCAAAAATGTGCGTAATTTTGTCATTTACGAGCTGATTTTGCATAATTTTTGCCGAAAAAGGCCATTTACAGTTTGCGCTTCGTAAGAACGATTGCGCATGGGAAGTAAAAATGATCCACAAAACCGTCAGATATAAGAAACCAGTATTGTAACATACGTTCACCGGTTGTTTTAATTTGTTCTTCGGCTTACGCATAGATTTAAAGCCTCGATTTGAATTTAAGCATCAATTTGGAGCTGGTCGAACGCTGGGCCGAGTCCAAGGCAGGTCAAACTGACCAAAACTTCAATAAAATGTGTTTGAGTGCTCAAAAAACTGTTGTTTTCACGGTATTTTGTTTATCATGCGCAATCGTTCTTACGAAGCGCAAAAACAGCAAATGAGGTTTTTCGGCAAAATTATGCAAAATCAGCTCGTAAATGAGAAAATTACGCACATTTTTGATGCAAATTGCAGAATTCCCCATATTAAATAAAAAATAAAAGTATTTTCGTTATAACTCTAAAATCCGCTGACCGATGGGGCTAAAACTTTCTGTGTTCATGGGAAATTAGCTTCGCTACCTCTGTGCAAAATTTCAAGTCGATCGGACCCGAAATAGAGAAATGCGGCCGGTGTCCTTTTTTTTGGGACACCCTGTAGAAGATTATGTTATCTATAATTTAATATTACCAGGGTTGAAAAGCCGCTTCGCGACTTTTCAACCCTGGCCCCCGTCTAACCCCCATGCTTCATCACTTTGCATAAACTCCTGTATTCCTGTGCAAAAAAAATGAAAAGCGCGTCCTCTCCGCCATTATATAGCCATCCTCCACTTCCGGTGCATGTTAATTCATTCCTAACAAAGCGGCTGAGCGAGATTTTCAGAAAAACTTAATTTAATATCGAAAACGGCTGTTTTTTAAAAATCTCGTATGCGTGCAGTCGTGTCATGACCATTACGCACCTAATGACATATCATACGTACCCCTAACTTCCTCCCCTATTGAGATACGACTGGAACATACGGACGGAAGTTGCATGCAAATGCACACACACACACACACAGACACTACTTTTTTATATATAGTAGGATTCAGACTTGCTTTATTTTTACTAATTATATTTATTTACGCAAATGAAATGTTCTAACAGCGTACCATCATCGACAACGCCCCTCTTGGTGCGACAGGCGGCCGTGCGATAGGCCGTGCCACGGCCACATTCCCCGGAACATTGGCCCCAGTCGCTGAACTCCCACCAGACACATTCCTGTTCGTTGCACGCCTCGTAGTCCAGCTAGAAGTCGCGATGTTCCGGAACTGTACGCGCTGGACCAACCCTGGGGACCTGGGCACAATGGTTTGGTGACAGCTCGCGGTCGTCGACGTCCACACAGGTCGGTTGGCGCCGTCGGATGCCGCCATCACAGGATTTTGAGCACTAAAAACTCTAGGTCTAGATTGTTACTGAAAGTTATACCTCGTTCCATTGCCCGTAGTTCCAGCGCGGACATCCGGCGCGGTTGCACGGTTTTTCGATGGTTTCCCGGGATCTGGAAGTGGGAAAATAAAAAGGGCAGGATTTTTGGACGTTTTTAAAAGATTTCTATTTGAATCTTTCACTCGTTTCAAGTTATATCTCAAGGTTTTTAGGCGGGAATTCAGGCCATTCATTCCTACGCGATTCCTATTTACGCAACAAAACAAACGCAGACGTAAATAGGCGTCCACGTAGCACGTGCCTGAACGCACACTTTTTAAAGCATACCTTTGCGGTTATCAGAATTATACACAAACTACACGATTTAAATATTTTTTTAGGATCCCAATGAAAAAATAAAAAGTCTAAAGACCCCCGGTCACCCCCCTCTTTACATGCTCTCTGCGGCATCGCTGCCCTTCCCCCACTCGCCCTCCATCTGGCCCACCCCTCCCAGGTATCACCCATCCCCACACCCCGGAAATCAGCTTTGCGCAGAGGCGATAACGTGACCAATGAGGCCTAGCCGAGGTGCGTTTATTGCTGGTTGAAAACTGATACCAATTACCCGTCGCTTTCTGCCCTGAAATACGGGTGTCAGCGCAATTTTTGAACGCCCCACGGGGGCAGAAAATTAGTTCTACTTTTTCCGTATCAGAATAATGAAGTTATGATTTATCTCATCAGAGTTTCGTCGATAATACCCACCTAACATCGCAGTAGCGTTGATCAAGCTGTCGCCCATGTGAATCAGCGCAGTAGGCGCTCCGGCGAGTGACGCCCGAATCGCCACATGACGCCGAACACTGTAAATTTTTTTTGTAAAGTCTAGAACACCTAGTAACTTAATAGTAAGTATTTTAATCGTTTTTACTAAAATACAACTCGATTTCAATTGGAAAACTTATTGAAAATTGATGGAATTGCTGAAATTGGTGCAAAATCGGCCATTTTTGGTTCATAAACGATATTTTTCTATTTTTTAGTAATATTTGTGAAGTTTGAAAATGAAAGTTAGAAGAGACGGCTTTTAACCAATTATTTTATTGCACAAACCCCTTTAGCGTATTTTTCTTGAAACCTACGTCACTCCACGACGTATACGTCCAATGGCCACCCCGCCCGGAGCAATCCTGATGGCAGTGGACGCGCTCCTGCGGTCGCGTCGACGGGTCACACTCACGGTCGTGCACTTGCACCCAGCGACGGCTAGACGGCAAGGAGTTCAGTTAGAAAACTTTGAGGATATTTACCTGTCCGCATCCTCGACGCGTACACACGTCACCTTCATCATCTGCTCACCGCTGCCGCAGCTGGCCGAGCACCCGGACTCCGGATCGCTTTGCCATCTGAAGGGCGTGGTCGTTTATTTAGTCTTTTTTTTGTAAGCTTTAATGGTTCTTATGCGTTATCAGGGTGTCTTGCCCTCCCCCCGCTAGCACACCAGAACCAGTTTTACCAATAGATATTTGAAGTGAAAAGGAATTTGAAAATTTGGAAAAATTTGGTCACTTTGGGGTCGAAAAACGTTTTTCGCCCTAAGAGAAAGATTTCAATTAAAATTTTCATTTTATTTTTATTGTTGGTACCTGTTAGTGCAATGATCATTGCAAGAGCGTCTTCGAGCCGTTGGCGGTGCCCGTATGGCCATGCAATTCCGCTCGCTGGTGGGTCGATTAGAGCGTCCGTCGATGCAGACGTAGGCGTGCACTTGTTCTCCTACAATTTTGGATGTATGTTCTATATTTTTCGTCATTTTGACCTTTTTTGCTAATTTTTTATACTTTTTTGAGTAAAACTGTATATCCAAACTAGAATTTATCCAATAAACACCTTTGCAACTCCGGGTGCAGACTGTCCAATCGTCGGCCAGCCTCCAGAACACGTGTCCGGTCCGCAGATCGAGATACGATGGTGGTTGGGCAACGGATGCTGGTGCTGTAGAGGCCATGTACTCGTAGCGGATGTCGGGCGGGGTGAGATTTCCCACAGTTAGGACGTTCACAAAAATGTCGGACCTAAAGATCGAGGTTCCGGCCGCGTTGCGCATTCTCTACCTGGTCGGCCCGGTGCCATTAATGCGCTCGATGAGGTTGTCGCTGCCCGAGTATTCGAGGATGACGTCTTGCAGCTGGAGGAGTACGTTGTAGACGACCACTTGGTACTTTCCGTTCAGCAGGAAGTCACCGTTGGAGGTGCGCAGGGCTTAAAAAATAGTGTACTATGGGAGCTGAAAATTTCTCACATAGATAGTTGTTATCGTCCTCCTTATTTCCGCGCCAGGCCGTCTGCGTGATTTCGATGTTGGCGGACCCGGCGGGGATTTTGAGAACCTGCAAGTTAAAACAATAATAAGCACAATTTTAAAAGTTGTAAAATTACGAAAGAGTGCAAAATTAACTGTTTTTCACAAACAAATACTAACCTCATTGTAACCAAACGACCCGCGCTCGTTGTAGCTGCCCTTGACGTGGCGGCAGCTCGATCCGTCACCACCGCAAATCCCGCACCGGTCTTTCTCCTAAATACAGTAAATTAGCCATTTTTGGTATTTTAGTAAGTAGACAACTTTTAGATAAAAAGCATGGACCTACCACATTCGAGCCGAGCACATGGTCACAGCCAGCTTTCCGGCAAGCCCCATCAACGCACAGATCGTCGCCGTTTTGATCACAAGGCGTTCCGTCAACCACCTAAAACCATATAAAGTATTATAGTTATTATCCATTATTACTAAAAAACCTCGAGCATATTTCCGCGCGTGCGTATGCTTAGGCAGGCGCAATTTTCACCCAGACGGACCGTCGGTAAATTTCACAAAACCGCAATTTGGTGTTTCGTTTTTAGGGCTTTGGCAACCATCGCCCTTCTCCAGGGGAATTTTCGCTTGAATTTTGACTATTTCAAACAATTTAATTGTTTGAATAAATGGGATTGATGCTGGAGATCCGGAGAACCAAGTTTTTGCGTTAGATAGCTTTTGCCGCGAGCAGGCCCGTACGCACATTATTCGGGTGTAATTTGTATTGCTACGTTTCCAAATTTGACCGAACAATGGACGCAATTTTAAGTAGTAAATTTCAAATACTCCAGGTAACCCACTTTTGGTTTGAGCAGATAGTAAGCGGAGACGGTCTCAATTCGACAATACAGCTTGCACCGCTCGTTCGGCGCCACTTGGTACTTGGGGATCCACGTGGTGTTCTGGGGGACGCCGTGGATGCCAACGTCCTGAAGTGGTTCGTTTTTTACCGAGATTTCTGATTACCCGATGATTGTAAGCGGCGCATTGGACATCCCTGAACGGGGGTGTATCCCACGGGCAATCGCCAATGTTGCACGAGCGGTAGTCCTCACGTTTTCCGACGCAATACTTTCCACCGTTGGCTGGTCTGTAAAAAGTTTTTGTTGCTATGAAAAGAAACTTTTTTGCTAGGATTTAATTTTTCAAATATACACGCTGGAAACGTTTCTAAACCTTTTTTAAAGATTTCTAAACGTGAAGACTGTATAAATTTTGTTTAAACGATATACAAATAACGATTTTTCCGCCGAAAAATGATCCATTTTTTTTACTTAAAAAAATTTCAGGTTTTGGTAGAGTTTTTCCAGCTGAAAGATAGTTGAATTTTACTATAAACACTATTAAAGCACTTCCTATGCAGATACTCGACATTTATAAACTCACTCCGGGCTATTACAATGGCGAACAGTCTTCTGAACGCCGCCACCACACGTACGCGAGCAGTCTCCCCACGGTCCCCATTCGCCCCATCCGCCATCCCTCCGCATCCGGCTCCCCGGCTGCATCCCCACGCATTGACCGCGATGGCAGAACATGGATGCGTGGCTGTTGCACGGGGTACCGTCGGCCCATGGCATATGTTGCGTACGGCAGCCGACTTGCGTAGCTTGCGGCAGCTGACACCACAATCGACGGCAGGAGGGCTGAAAAAGGAAGGCTAATAAAAGCTAACTATCTGTCCAGTGGAAAAACAACAATTAAAAAACCTAGGAAATTCTTAAAGTTGAAACTTTGGTCGAAAATACTTAATTTTTGAGCAAAAAATCTCTATTACTTCCAGAGCTTTTAATGAAATTTTGAAAAGTTCTTTTTCTAAACAAATGATAGATTTCATCGAGCCTTACCATGTACGGGCAAAGCTTCGAGTCACGCCCAAAAACGAATTCGCACTGCCGGTCGGCGCTGTACTTGATGCCAGCGGGCTGCACTTCGAAGAGGTCATCGTAGAATCGACGCTGCGTAGGTTGGTCAAAGAGGCATTGCGTACGATCTCGTTGTCTAAAAGGGTAAATTTAAATAAAAAGCTGGTAATAATTCAATAATTTTGGTTTTTCGCATTTTGTCATTTCTTATCGAAAAACGCCCAAAACCCACTCCAAAAACCGCTCGAGCATCGCCGCCGAACAGGCTGACCAGCTCCAGGGATGGGTGTTGAACTCGAGCGTCGGGGCCATAATGTGAAAATTCTCCTTGGTCACCTCCATCCACTGCCGGCACTTTGGCTCGTCGTCGTGCGGCATGTTGAAGCTGCAATTTCAGGGTTTGCTAACCCATGCTTCCGCTTACAGATGGGCCAACTCGTGGGCGATGGTGAACGCGGCGGACAGCCCATTGTCTTCGATGATCGAGCAGCTCTTGTTGAAGTTGCACATGGTGCCCAGTTCGGCCAGCCCGAGAGTGTCGCACTTGCCGGCGGCCCTGTAGTAATGGGCGTAAAAAATAATCGCAAACCAGCGCACCTGCAAATATCCTTCCGGGTGAGCAGCACGGCGACGTCGTGATGGTTGGGCGACTCCTCGTTCAGCTCGTTAAAGCCCATCTGCCATTGGCAAAAGTTTTGCAGGCTCTTCTGCGCGTTTTCCGTGACCCGAGGGCCATTCTAAAAACAAGAGCTATATAAGTAAACCACAAACTACACTCACATATTCATGATGGAGGACGGCAATTCGGACGACAACAATATTAATGGCAGCGCCGAGGGATCGATGCCGGTAGATGGATGCGACCTAAGCGCGGAAATCAATGGTTATTCTTATGCATACCGTAGAGAAGAGCGTAAGAATATAATCTTCAAGTTGGCTGCCGTGATATTCGGCCATTTGCGTGTCCGCCGCCACAAACACCTCCACGTAGTGCTCCCACGACATCGAAGAGCGTCGCGATCGTCGCTTACGGTCTGAAAGGCGGACTTTAATACTTGGTATTTTTAAGATTTTCACTTAATATAATTTAGCAGCGTTTATAACCACTTTTTTAATTTTTTGATCTTTTCGTCGACCCTTGCACGCATTTTCGTAAGAAGACACAAGAAGCGCGCGTGCATAGGAGCATCGCGTTGCCAAAAATCAACAACGAGACGCCCCTTTCTACGCTGCAATTTGTGCTCTCAAGGCATTCTGTTTTTGTTTAGAATTCCTTTTCTTTCCAGTTTTCATTTATAATTTCCTGGCCTTTGTGCGTACATTGGAGTATCGCGTTGCCAAAATCGGCAACGAGAAGCGCCTTTGAACGCGCGAATGCCATGCGCGTCTCGTTTTTGGCCGGTTTCAGCCAACGAGAAGCTCCCTTGAACTAGCAAATCCTATGCGCTTCAGCCATTTTCATCTCGCCAACGGTATGCTCCTTTGAACGCGCAAATTCCATGCGCTTTAAACAATTTCTCGCTAGCTTTGGCACATCACCGTCCCTTTTAAGAGTGCCGGAAACGTTTTTTTTTGTGAAGCCCTCCACGGGCCCCGGTCCTCTTTACGGAAACATCGGGCAGTGTTGGTGGGCCCCCTCTCGACCCGGGTCAGCCTTGATGCGTGCGAATTCCACCCGGGACCATCCGTTCCCACGCGCACAAACACAAAAAAACCCTCAAACGCCGAAGAAGCACACACGCACAAAAAGCGAACAGCAAAGAGGGCGCCGCGCGCTTCCGTTTTGGACCGAAATCCCGGCGGCGGGCCCTGAAGCGATTGCTACAAACTAGATAGTCGTTGAAGTATGGTCTCAAGTTTGTTGGTTTTTAGGCAGCTAGCAGGGATGCTGTAGGAACAAATTTTTGCGAAAAAACCTGACAACAATGCTTCAACGCTTGATCTTTACAAAGTACGGGTTCTTTTGCATTATCGGGGGGGGGGATGCGAATTTTTCCTGTAAGCCCAGAAATGCCTACTGGCTCAATAGTAAATTTTTTATAGTGTTTTTCGCAAGAAGAGATTTCTCTAAGAAAAAGCGATTTGGTCAGCTAGCAAAGACCTTTTAGGAGCTTTTCTCACCCTGTGTCTGCAGCCATTCCCCGTCGTGGTAGGTGAAGTTGTAGCTGTTCGGGTCGACGGGATCCTCGTCGTACTGCACGTAGTTGTGGCCTCTAGAAAAATCGTCGGATTTCCCGCTAAAAGACGCCCGATCTACCGTAGCTTGTGGACGAGGTGGGGCTGCATTCGGTGGTGTTCTCGCTGTTGGCCGGCACCCTCCTCCTCGAGCGGTTCCACCGAGTAGATGCCGTCGGGCAGGGCGAGCAGGCCAAACTGGAAAATGGAAAGTTTTTCGTGAAATATACATGTTTTTATCTATTCTGAAATTATTAATATCCGGTTTTTCATTAGCATGGATGAATTTCAAAGGTTGTAATTTTGTAGGTATTGCCCTTTTAAAGGTATTTTGGATTTTGTAACTTTGAAATCCCGATTTTAAGCGTTTAAACTTTTTAAAAATACGAAAATTCAAAAAATGCACTTTTTTGGCTATTTTCCATACATTTTGACTAAAAAGGAAAAATGCTCTAGTTTTATAGCTTTTGACCAGGGTTGAAAAGCCGCTTCGCGACTTTTCAACCCTGGCCCCGTCTCACCCCAAGATGTTATTCATTTTGCATAATTGTGCCCGAATTGCGAAGACCAAAAATGAAAAACACTCCCTCCATCCCTTTATATAAGCTACTGCAACTTCCGGCGGATGCTAATTGTTTCCTAACAAAGAGGGCGCCCGAAATTTTTAGAAAAACTGAAAATTAATGTTTAAAACAGCTGATTTTGTGAAATCTGATAATCGTGCAGTCATCCCAAAGCCATTACGCACCTAATGACGTATCATACGTACCTTAAATTTCATCCCCTGTCGAGATATCCTCCGGACATGGTGACGGAAATTGCATGCAAAGTGGCACACACACACATACACACAGACACTATTTTTTTATATATAGTAGGATATCTGAAAACTGCCTGAAATGCTCTAAAAATATTTTCTATTTTGTTAAAGAGCTGTACGGGATTAAAATATTTTGGTTTCCGCCCGTTAACCCCCGCTAACAGTCGAGTACCTTGATTTTTGCGGCGATAACTTTTAACCATTTTCAAAGGCAAGAATTATCCAATTTTTTTTTGCCTTTCTGGTCCCTTTAAACCCCCAGGAGAACGCAACAGTCCCCCAGCCATCGCGGCGTCAGTCGCACGGTGTTTTTTCCGCGAGGGGCCCCCCAGAAGCGCCGCGGGTTTTTAGTTTTTGAGCACACAAAAAGCGGGACGGCGAACGAACGGATGGTGGGGGAAACTGTTAGATAAACAGTGCACCCTCAGCCAGGATATTTTCACCCTTTTTTTGAAAAGCGGCCCCGAGGGGTGGTGGTGCTCATGAGCCGATAGGTAAAGGGATGGGCCAGGGTATTTTCTCACTATCTCTCTCTCTCACTCTCTCTCTCTCTCTCTCTCTCTCTCTCTAGCTCTGCTTTCTCTAGTATAGCTAAACAATACGTGACGGCCGGCTACTCATCCGTGCCGCTGAATAGAACCGCCAAAAAAGTGGGTAACCCGGAGAATGTGAGTCAGAATTGGTCTTGGCATGATACCAGGCAAATTCTTTCGGTATCGTCATTCCTGTTTTCTAAATAACGACCGGTTTACAGAACTTGATAGCCTCAACTTTAGGCCCTAAAGGCTAAAATTGGGAGGAAAATCTGTAAAAATGGCTGCCAGGAAGGCTCAATCTTTCTCAGTTCCAACTACAACTAATTACGGTTGTATTGACCGGAAAATTGGCATTTTAAGGGTTTTGGGCCAGAGAAACCGCTAATTTGGCAAAAATCGAGCTTGTTCTCCATGGTCTATTGGTAACGTTCTCGCCTCCCATCCGAACGGCACGGGTTCAACCGCAGTCGGCGCGCGGAAGTTTTGCTTTTTAGCGAAAAGCTTGGGGGACGCCTTGTGCGCTGGAGCCATGATAGTCCCATTTTCCGGATGGCTCCCTGTTGACGGGCGTTTGTTTTGATAGGGGGCGGATTGAGTGTGGGGGGAAGGGAAAAAGATGATAAAAAGGAAGGGGATAAGAATAGAAAAGAGAGGTAAAAATAGTTGTGATGAGAGAGTGAGAGAGAGAAGCGAGAGAGAGAGAGAGAGAGAGAGAGAGAGAGAGAGAGCGTGGGCGAGAAACATAAGCATGAACCCACCACGCTTCCGTGTCTTTCGCACAGGTTGACGATACTCGATTCTTTGGCCCCGTGGACGTGGGCTCTAAAAACATAGGTTTACGCATTAATAGACGATTAACTGTCGATAAATAACATGAAATACTAAAAAAGCGTCCCAACCGTACCTGTAGATACAGTTTGGACTGGCCTGGGCCAAATTGATCGTCGTCTCATTGTCGGAGACCATGTGCTGCACCAACGGCTTGTACGGGTGTCGCACATGTCTAAAATAATGCTAATAATATAATTTTAACCTTTTTTTAGTATAGCGCAGTGGATATTAGGTTTGCCTCTCGATTTAAGGGTCAGGGTTCGACCCCCGCCGATGACCAACTTTTTGCTGTGGTCTCGGGGTTTGCTATCGTGTCTTTAAGCCATCACAGGGACATTTTTACTATTTAATACTACTTACAGCGCGGAGGTCTGAGTTTATTCGGGTTCTAGGTTTTCACACTATAGTGTAGTGGCTAGTGGTTCTGCCTCTAAATCTCAGGGTCCGGGTTCGACCCCCTCAGGCGTCAAACTTTTTGCTTTTTGAAAAACACATGTATCACGGTATTCAGCAACGCCTTTGAATGTCATTTTAACCGTTTAGGCCTGTCTCTATAGTTTTTGAGCGCTAAAACGCGATTTACCCGACGTGCTGGGGGTCAAAGATGTGCAGATGGACGACGTGGATGGTGTCTCGACTCCGGAATCGCATCGAACACGCCGCACCGCACTGTCGCGCCAGCCCGTGCGTGCCGGGTGATCGCTGGAATACGGTAGCCGCGGGTTGGGGGCACGGTTTAGGGTGCAACTCACCCATCGCGCCTCTGCATCGCGTTTCCTCCGTCTCGTGTAGTGGAGGTCTGGGTAGAAGACGTCGCCCGATTCTTCGGAAACGCCTGAAATGACGTAGAACTGGTAAAAGTTTCTTAACGGGGGCTGACGGGGGAATTCAGGGTAAAGTAACGAAGTAAAATAAAATTAGGGAAAATGTTGCTTCACGGTAATGGTTGCTTAAAGGGCTGCCGACGGCATGTGTCGATCCCCCCCCATCAACAAATTGGCAAGTAGCCAACAGGGGAGAGAGCGCGCCCAGGGGAGAGGCGCAGAGACATTTTCTTTCCAGCGCGTAACCGATTGCCTATGCCGTCGGCATCCCTTTAACGGGGGTGAGGGTGGTAGACTGCTGAATGTTCACCCGAAAATCTTATTTATAGCGTTTTTTATTACAACTTTCCGTATCCTAAAGCAAATTAAATTAAAAACTAAGGTACAACTACCAACTTACTTACTTGTTAGTGTATTTTTTATGTCCTTCGTGTTGTTTTTTGGATTTTACGTCCGTGTCCCTTTAATTTGCCTGAATTCGTCAGGAAAAA